ATATAATAATCATAATAATTTTAATAATAATAATAATTGTTGTAATAGTAATGATGATAATATTATATAATTTGGATATATGTGTATGTATATGTATGTGTACTTATATATGTATATATGTGTATATATATATATATATATATATATATATATATATATATATATATATATATATAATTGAACATTGAAATATATATATATATATATATATATATATATATATATATATATAGTGATATATATAGTGGCTCGGATTGAGGAATCGAAGAACTGAATTCGAATTCCAGTCGAATCCATTATATTCACTTACATGCTAATAACCTTCTTCTCCATCCAACTGTGGGTTAATAACAGGACAGTCTGGACTCTATAGCCTTGGATGGCAAATGGTCTAGGAGAAGGACAACGCTGAATTCAAAACATGTGAATGGACGTTTGGAGACCTTGCGTTACGTAATGCACCAGGTCTCTGTATTCGGACATTCAAATCGTGTGGTTGGTTCTGCACAAATCCTTCGCCACTAAAATCAAATGTGCTTGTGTCGGGTTGTCGGTTCCTAAGAACTGATTTGCTTGACCCTCATACGTTGAATACGACGGGAGAGTCCACAATATATATGTACATATATACGCATATATATATATATATATATATATATATATATAGATAGATAGATAGATAGATAGATAGATAGATAGATAGATGCGTATATATGTACATGGATTAGTATAAAGCCACAGATGAAATTTTAGATTATTAATATTTTAAATTTACAGACATGTTACTAAGTTATATTATTTGTTGATATTGCTGATATGTAATCGGTACCTATTAGTTTTAGTAATTCTTGACGCAAATCTTTAATTTTTTTGTCACCTGATTTGGGCAGAGCATTGAACAGTTATTACTAGTACTGATAATAGGAAGAAGAAAGATAAACAAAGATGAATGCAATAATAGTAATAATAATAATAATGGTGGTAGTGGTGAAGATAATGATGATGATGATGATGATGATGCTGGTGGTGATTGTAGTCATAGTGATTTATCGGTTATTTTTTAATGGTTTTTCGACATTTATTTATTTATTAGTAATTTATATACATTTTTTATTTTATAAGCCATATAATGCAAACACTATAATAAACTTTTTTTTTAAATATTATTGGTGTCAATAAAGTAATTGTATTTATGGGTAAAATATATCCTTGTGCCTACAGGATTAGGGAGATTTTAATATATTTCCCATTATTGAACATAAAAGAGAAAAAGTAAAAGAAAAAATCCTTTGAAGACTAAAGTTATGTCGAAGTCTCGTGAAACACGTCATGTCTCCTTGGGATCCAAATGATTATAAATGAATATTTACCGTTTTGTTGATAATAGCAATAAAAAAAGCAGATGGAGGTCTGATCCCTTTAACGTGATATCTCACCAGGCTATGGCTATGGTTAGACCCCCACAAACAAGCCCCGCACGTATGGGTAAATGAACTAACTATAATGCTGAGACAACGAAAAATATTACTGAACCGCATCAGTAGTCACGCGAGTCAACAGGGATCGCGATCCCCAATGAGGAACCAGACTGAGATCAAAAAGTCTGCAACTAGAACAAATCACGCCGAGGACAGTCCTCACAGAGGTCTTCTATATTCATTAAAAACCATCTAACGAAAAGAACAATAAATAAATCGTTTAGGGTAGAGTATATTTAAGTAATGATAGCATTTTACATTGCTACGATAAACCTGACAACATCGACCAATGCCGCCTATAATAATCTCGCGAGAAAGAAAAACATCCCTCAAACAGGCGAAACATCGATACCAACAAACTAGCCAATGGCAGGCGTGACATCATCAGGAAAAAAAAAGAATACCTGACATAGAACTCAAAACCATCCGGAAAACATAAAAAAATAGATTAAACGTTAATATCGAGAGGATAATGCCAACAACCCAGAGGAGAGACATGCTGAGGAACAAACAGAAACTAGTTGTAATATTACCTATGAGGTACACAAGCAAATAGAGGAATATAATGATGAATATGAGAGAGAAACAGAGACAACAAAAAACATCCGAAATAAATGGTACAATGTAAAGGAAATGTTTTTCGAGGAAAGGCAAACAATTTCAAAAGTAAGGAAAATAAAAAAGAACTGTCAAGTGAAGGAAACCATCCTTGTCGGTATCCAAGCAATTAGAAAAATAAGGGACGAAATAGAAAGACCGATAAACCTGACAGAAATTAATCATCTTATATACGCGGCCTCGGGAAAGATCACAGAAACAATAGGTGAAAAAGTAAAGGGAGTGTGGAAGGAAAAAAATACAAACCGAAATTATTAAACTACGAGGACAATTATTACTTCTAAGTTAAGTAGACATGGGCTCCAAATGAAAGAAAGAAAAAGGATGCTACCGAAACGAAGCCTTGACATAAAGAATAAGATTGTCCTACCAAAAGTTAAAGAGAAGCTGATAAAACAAACTCAAGCGAAAGTAAAAAAAAGAATAAGGCGTTATGAAAAAAGAAATAGATTCTTCTGGCAAAGCAAGACCTTCAAAGAAGATGCCAAGAAACTATATCGAGAACTGGGAAAAATAAAATAGAGATAAATGACCCACCTAATATCCAGGAAGTCGACGAGTTCTGCTGTAATATGTAGGAAAAGTTAAAAATGCACAATGAAAGAGCTATATGGATCAAACAACACACATGGACGGATATCAATATCACTGAAAAAACTGCCGCTATCTTCAAAACCAAAAACTGGAAATCACGAGGAACAGATCGAATAGCCATTTTTTTAGCACCCAACAAGACCTTGCACGGGCATCCAATGATTTAATCATAAACACATAAAAATGCTTCAAAAGTCTCACGCGGAGAGTAATATACAAACTCTCAAAAACAGAAGATACACAGAATCCGAAGCACTATAGACCCATCACCTGCCTACCAACAATGTACAAAATCCATACTTCTATCATAATCGAGAGAACATATGACTTGTTTGAGAAAAAACAATTTACTCCCAGTAGAACAGAATGGGTGTAAGAGAGGAAGTTATGGGTGAGAGGAACAACTAAAAATATAGTGTGCCCCACAACTGTCAAATTCCTTACGGAGAACATGAAAAACTGGAAGACGACAGTAAACCTAAACCATACAAACAGGTCATTAACATCGAGACCAATCAACATCAAAAGTGGGATCTTCCAAAGAGATTCATTGTTATCACTACTCTCCTGCCTTACTTTAGAGCTACTCAGCTGCCTACTGAACAACAGTAGCTACGGATAAAAATCATAAAATGGCAAACTGAATCACCTATTGTATATTGATGATCTCAAAACGTTTGCCAAGGATGACAGCTAAC